GTTGTTTTTAATTGTGCTTTATAAATAAACTGTGATTAGGATGTATTTATTCACGGGACCAATCAAATCTCTTAGTCTTATTACAACTGAGAAATTTCCTAGATGGTCAATCATTTAAAAATATATATTTTTCTTAATCAGCAAATTCAGCTTATTCATCTTGTTTTACCCAAAAATAATCTACTGTATACTTAACAAGCCAATATCAAGATTTACGGAAGACAAATATGAAGATGTTATGTCTAGATTTTTATAAAAATTATCATCCCATTTTCCTTCTCATGTTCAGAGATGTTTTGCTGTCAGATAAAAGAGTCATCTCAATCAAATCTTTTTTTTCTTAAATATATATAGTGAATAATGTTTGCAAGCAAGTAATGTTTATTGTGTTATAAGTAAATTGAAAAGATGCCCTTTAGATTTTTTATTTACTATAAAAGTATTTCATTTTTAAATGATCTACATGTTAACGGACATGTTAATGATATAACCCTTGATGGCTGCTCATTATTTTAAAATCGTGTATGCTAATTTTACTAATTAGTGAAATTAGTTTCATTGATGCTTTTTCTAATTTGTTAGTTCTTCTAGCAGGTTGTAATCACACAAGAAGCCTTAGTTCAACAATTATTTATAAAAAGAACAAAGCATTCATATAATAATTATAAATATGTATAAATAAATAAATATAAAAACGTGACCCCAGACCACAAAACCAGTCTTGCAGTGCATGTGTATATTTTTGGCAATAGCAAAGAATACAATTTTTAATGCCAAAAGTCATTAGAATATTAAGTAAAAAATAGGGTTCCATAAAAACATTTAGTAAAAACTGGTCCCTGATGTAAATACATTAAAACGTAATTTATGATTATAAATTATTATAATTATAATTTGCATTACTAATAATTTAATTTCGAAGATTTTAAAGGCAATTTTCTCTATATTTAGATTCTTTTTTAACACATTAAAAAAATTCAAATAGTTGCGTTTCAGCTAAATATTGTGCTTTCATAACAATCCATGAATGGAAAACACATTTTATTAATCTTTCAGATGATGTATAAATCTCAGTATTAAAAAAGCATATCCTTATGACTAGTTTTGTTTTCCCAAATTAATTAAAAATAATAATATTAAAGAATAAGTGACATTCTTTATTTTAAATGTTCACTTAATACCTAATAAGTTACTTTATCCACTTTGTTTTGCAATACAGGTTGATTCCAGGCTCTGTGAAAGTCATTTGTTTTTCATGATGTGCTCTATGAATGTTATAGAGATGATTGTACATCATCATAAACTAATGTAAGCAGGATTATATAATGGCATGGCTCTATTCTGCACATTTTACTCTCAGACAGCATGACCCGTGGACCAGCCCGTGCTCTCAGACGACAGATTGCAGCGGATTGCGACGCAGAACCGCTCAATCCAAAAGACTCGAATTCTAAAATCCGAATTCAAATTGTACTTTCGACGTAATCGCACAACAGATTTCCCACGCACGCGCACGCAAGACATTCACTCTAGGTGACATATGGAAAGTCGGACCACACTTCTTAATAATAATAATAATAATAATAATAATAATAATAATTGTGGCTTTATGAAGGGTCAATAAGTACAACACTTTTATTCTTTCGTTTAATATGCATATGAATTTACATTACATAACGTAATCATCACAGCAAAACACTGATATTCATCAGAATCAACACTGTAATTGAATATAGAACGACATTAATTGAAATGCTCTTATTTATTTATACTGAGCCATATTCACAGCAGCCTGTCAGGCCTGGGAAGTACACGAGGGATTCCACTGAAAATAAATAGGCTGCATTTAATTAATTTAATTGGCTATGCATGTAATATCATTTCAATTATACTTACTATAACGATAATTTACAACACCTTAAATAATCTGATAGAACAAACTGTACAACCCATCTAGATATGGCACCCATATAAGAAGATGAATAATAATTTTAAAAGGGGAACACATTTCAGTGTCACAAGCACCACAAGCAAAAGACAACTATCCAAATACGCACCTGATGATGTTAAAGACCCCTGCCTCGAAAATCCTTGGTTTGTCAATCCCCGTGTGGCCTTAAAATAGGGCGTCGTGCTGTTATTTCACTCGCGGTGTTGAACTGGATGGCACGCGCATCACGTCGTGTGGTTTGCATTGCCACACTCCGTTGTCATCAGTTTCACGGAAGACAGCGCGGATCTTTAATCCAGGAGAAGAGTGTTTTCACAGCCTAGTCCAGACACTCCGTTGTCACGCCCATCTCTCCCTCGCAGTGCTCTGCCGTTAAAGAAATCCGAGAACGGGTTTTGCCCTCGCCCACATCATGCGCCTCTGCGGTTGGTCAGGGTGCCACGACACGCGTAGACCCCGCCCCCGGATGCGAAATCTCGAATCCTAATATGGAATGCTGCTTATTAATATTCATGAGCTTGGTCTTCGCTATTGGACGACGTCAACTGAAGGTTGTTAATATTGAAACACCGCGTTTCGCCATTGGAGGCGTGATTAATATTAATAAGCCAAGCGTAGGCTTCGTGATTTCACCTCAGGATGGCGTTCGTGGGGTTGGCACCGTTAAATACGCGCACGGTGACGCTCGAGCGAGGGATCTGACAGCCCGTGGAATCCTCCGCATTTTACACATTTAGGGATACACATGCACCTGTGGAACAGCAGCAGTCCTTAATCAAAATTGGAATCAGAAAGAGGTGTATTGCCAGGTATGTTCACACACAAGAGGAATTTGTTTTCGTGACAGAGCTCCTACAGTGCAACAGAATTACAGAGACAGGACAAAAACAGATAATAAATATTTTAAAAATAGAAATAAGTAGTGAATGCAAAAATACAAATTGACAAGTGTATGTACAGGTATATTACTATATAGAAGTTTATATGTGCAGCTGTTATATACATATTGGCATGTAAAGTATGTTGTTAAAAAAGTGTCCAGTGCTCAGCATAATTGAGTACACCCCATTTTGAAAATGAATATTGTATTGAATGAATTTATCCATTTCTCAGTGAATAAAAGCAATGTATTTTGGTGCATTTAAACACAGATTTCTTAGACAGATATATTTATTATCATAACATTTTAGCCATCAAACATATTTAGAAATTGAAAGGTAATAGAATTAAATTCAAGCAAGATATTGCAATAACTACAAAATAAAAAAATAACTTTATTATAAGAGGGTTGCACTTATATATGCTGAGCACTGTAAATGTGTATAAAAGGTAGTGATGTTTGTTTCACAATTACTATCATAAAGTGTTCATGAGATGGACTGCCTGAGGGAAGAAGCTGTTTCTGTAACACCTGGAACAGTATCATACTGTATAAACTATTTTATTAACAGCTCTTTTAAAGGGAAAGTTCATCCCAAAAAAATCTGTCATCATTTATTCACCATTTATTTGCTCCAAACCTGTTCGCCTTTCCTTCTTCTGTTAAATAGGATATTTTGAAGAAAGTTGTAAACATTGACAGCCATAGTATTTTTTATTTATTTTCTGTACAATATTTTCAGCTTTCTTTAAAATATCTTCTTTTGTGTTTAAAACAAAACAGAAACTCAGACAGGAATAGTAACAAGTGAAGATTGAGTAAATGATGATGGATTTTCAGTTTTGGGTGAAATACCCCTTTAAGATGACGACTATTCTATTCAGCCTAAGTCAGTTATATAAGGCACATTCTGCAGAGACCTGTTTTGTTATGCTAAAAACTGTTATTTTGAACAACAAATACTTCAGAAATAGCGATCAAATAAAGTCTAAGTTGTCATCCTTCACATCAATTGATTAAAAACATGAAATTATAAATAAATTCTACAAATAAATACTACAGATATATAATACAATATATATAATACAAATAATTATCATACCATGTCCTAAGTCACTTTAGTAGCTTCAGTAGCTTCTCAACTTTGAACGATTTAAGGCCTGTGGCTCTGACTTCTATTCCTATAAAGATTTTTGAAAAAATGATTAGGACAGAAATTGTTAAAAGGACAAAACAAGTTCTTGATCTGTCCTCTGTCCGTCTGTCTGTCTGTGGGCAGATCTATGTAGAATAGTGGTAAGAAGAATGTGTTGCAACCCCTAGAATTTGTGAAATTTCAGACCATAGCAAGGATGAACAGCTAAGGGTGTTCAAAAAATAAATGCACTGATTCTTTTAGACACAGAAGGAGCAATTATCTATGTTCTATATTGAGATGAATATATATATATATATATATATATATATATATATATATATATATATATATATATATATATATATATATATATATATATATATATATACACATATATACAATATAGATAAACACAATATAGATAAATTATATTGTTTCTTTAACATGACTTTTACTCTAATCTTAGATTTATCATTCATTTTACTTCATTCACATTAATGTAATTTTTCTAGAAAAAATATTATTGATTTGTTTTTATTATTTGGTAAATTTAACATTTCAAATGGCGTAACCTAAAACCCAGCTCTGGGCATTTTCAAACAGCCCTTAAAGTTTAATAAGACTCTAAAAGTTAAAAAAATAAAAAATAAATAAATAAATAAATAAATAAAAATATTCTTATAAAATAGTTTAATATTTGATTACGATGCTCTTTGAAAATTTTTATATTTTCCTATTCCATAAAACCTCCATATATATTTACAGTGTTGTGCACATTGAATATTCTGTCAAAAATCTACTGATGTTAAATTTGGTGTTTTAAATTTTTTAATATTGCAATTAAAAAGAAAAAAAGAGCTTTTTGCAACCATGAACTGCAGTCATAAAATAAAGCTTGCAGTGTATCAGTGTATCGCTATGTGTTTCGTAAATAGTCCGTCGTTTTCCTTCTCCCTATTCAACACACAGTGCACCACCAGCATCAGCTGTCATGAGCAGGTCATGAGTTGTGAATGGAAATATGGGCCAGAAGGATCGTCTCAGGTTGATGGCGTCATTCTCTGGCGCCAAAACAGTCTCCTCTCAGCTTCTTCCCAGAGTATCTCCATTGTGGACGTGCACACTTATATAGAATAAAAACAAAACCACGCGTGTGGTGTTTAATGTTTCACCCACACCTGCGATTTATTAGCGCGTCTGTTGGATCTTAGCCCCTGTCGGTGTCGCCATGAACGACGAAGATGATTCGATGTCAAGTTTTCATTCAGAACAACTAACGTTACATGCTAATGTGGCGTCGGTTCCTGATGGACTTTGCTGGGTGTCAATTCTGTCCTGTCTGCTGCTTGCGTGCTCATATGTTGGAAGTTTATACGTCTGGAAAAGCGATTTACCAAGGTATAGTTCGAAGTCTTTGGCTGTGTCTCAAAACCTAGTGAGCGCCCTACCTAGACAGCAATTTGGTAAACACAACGTTCGATTTGACGCTTTCATGTCATCGTTTAAAAATCGATGTTGTTGATCAACAGTAGTATTTGTGAATAGTCTTTGAATCTAATGTTTAAGTGCGTTTTGGACGGGGACATTCTAAAACGCTTAACGTTAACCTGATAAACGCTTAACGTGGCTTAATGTACTTAAGTTAACCATCAACCAGAGAAGCACACATTTCTGTCAAACTTTACTTGTAATTGACCTTAACTATAAAAAGAGCAAGCCCCAATTCCTTAAGTGAGGTAAAGTTGGTTTTATATTCGCACATTCGTTCAGGGACAGCTCCATACATTGTTTACCATGGTACTTTGAATATTCGGACTGAAATCACATGGATGACCTCAAAACAACATTAGCACTTTTTAATCGACTGTGAACAATGCTGTACTTTGACAAGGCTTTTTTTTTACAAGGCTGCTAATATGATTTTACTATTAAGAATTTCCAATTAATACTTTTCTGAGATTATAATTAATGAGAAAGACTAAATGTGAGAATATAAAACCAACTTTAACGTTACCTCTATTAAGGAGACGTTTAAAACATGCAGTGTTGGTGGTCCTCCAGGAACGTGGTTGAGGAACACTGGCTTAATCTACCTTAACAACAATCAGGGAAAATAAAATTTCTATCAAATTTTACTCATGACAAAACATTTTCTGATATCAAAAGAATGAGCTCTAATTTGTAGTGAGTGAAAATTTTCACGTTGTTTCTTTTAAGTCCATTTTAAAAGGAAAATGCTTAACATGGCTGGATGTACCTCAACAAGTTGGGCACACCAAAAATCTATCAATTTTTACTTGTGATTAACACCAACTACTAGCAAAAGATCAAGCCCAATTTCTGTGGATGAAGTGAACAATGTCACATTAAGCAATTTATCCCATTGAAGTCCATTATAAGAGCTTAATGTGGTTTAACAAAATTTCTATAAAAATACACTTTCAATAAACACTTTCTGCTGTCAAACTTTTATTTTAGTTTATCAATTAAACACTTTACAGCTTAACGTACCTTAACACCAACCAGGGAAACACACATTAATCAAACTTTACTTGTGAATAACATTTCACAAGTACAACTATTGTCAAAAGAACGAGCCCCAATTCCATAGAGCAGTGGTTCTCAAACTGTGGTACGTGTACCACTAGTGGTACACAGGCTTCCTTCTTGTGGTACATGGAGGAATGAAATATGTCATGTACATGCTAAACACATTTCAATATTTATCAAAAATGATGTATATAATATGCTATATATGGCATATAGCCTATATTTCTGAGGTAATCTGCCACGTTTTTTTTTTTACTTTGAGTTTTAGCTGCTTTACTGGGCCTACTACGCTACTGTATTTCAATACTGCTCATATTGGTGGTACTTGGAGAGACAATTTTTTTCTGAGGTGGTACTTAATGAAAAAAGTCTGAGAATCACTGCCGTAGAGGAAGTGAACAATCACGTTAAATGTTTTCTCCCTCATTGAAGTCCATAGTAAGGAAACGCTAACGTAACTTTAAAGGAAAAACCAATGTTAAAAAGGTTGTTTATAAAATCAAATTTGATTTATAATAGATTAACCCTTGCTGTCAAAAGAATGTGCTTTCATTGATGATGTTTTCATTGACATTCATTTTGCGTTTTGACATTAACATGGGGAAAAGGCTTGACACAATATTGTTGACTTCAGCTGTGGAAAAGGGGCTCATTCTTTTGCTAGTAGTTAGTGCTAACAACAATTACAGTTTGATAGAAATGTGATTTTCTATCTTAAAACATTAAGTTTTTCTCCTATTATGGACTTCACTGGGGGAGAAAACGCTTGATGTGATGTTTTTTCACTTTATCTGTGGAATTGGGGCTCGCTCTTTTTAAAGTAGTTAGGGTTAATTACAAGTAAAGTTTGACAGAAATTTGTGTTTCTCTGGTTGATGGTTGGGTACATCAGGCCACGTTAAGTGTTTTTAATGTTTAGCATTTTAAAACATTCGAGTACCATGTTTTAGTTTCGATTTCTTTTTTCATTTTTCTGCTACTTAATCTGTTAATTTTTTGCCGATATCTTTTAACTGATCATGAGAGAAGTGGACAAATGTATAACATTCATTGTGCTATTGTGGTACAGTTGGTTTCATATTATATTATAACATTCGTTCAGTGATAACTTGTGAAATGCTCCCTTTATTGTTTACCATGGTACTTTGAATATTCGGTCCAAAATCACATGCAAGAATGACTTGAAAACAACATTATCTCTATTTATTTCACTGTAAACAATGTGGTACTTTGATAGTGATTGGCTGCTAATATGAGTTCACTATTTAGAATTTGCAAAGAATGTTTTGGTAAAATTATATTATTAAGGAGAACGTCCATATGTGTGAATTAAAACCAAATTAACCTTAATAATGCTCATTTTGTTATTGAGATAAAGTTGGTTTTATATTCGCACATTCATTCAGTGACAGCTTGTGACATGCTCATTATATTGTTTAACATGATACTTTGAATATTCAGTCTGAAATCACATGTAAATATAACTTTAAAACAACATTAGCACTATTTATTTGACCGTGAGTGTGAACTATGTTGTACTTTGATAGTAATTGGCTGCTAATGTGAGTTCACTATTTAAAATTAATTAAGAATATTTTCTGAAATTACATTGTTAAAGAGAGTGTCAGAATGTGTGAATTGAAAACCAACTTTACCTCAATCACTTTCTTTCATAAAACATAATTTGATGGTGCCACTATGGACTTCATTAAACAACTATGTTTCTATGTTTGTTTGTATGAACAGGGATCATCCTGCAGTGATAAAGAGACGCTTCACCAGTGTATTGATTGTATCTGCTCTTTCGCCAGTGTTTGTATGGGCATGGAAAGACTTCACAGGCATCCAGGTAGTTTTATTGCAACAACTCCTGTGTTTTGTTCATTGTGTGTATTTATTATGGTCCCTTAAATGGATAGTTCACCCCAATAGATAAAAATGTACTCATCACAATGACACAAAAGCAGATACTTTAAAGAATTTTTGAAACTTTTATTGACATTCATAGTAGGAAAAACAAATACTACGAAGTCATTAGTCAGATCTGATGTTTTACAATCCGATCGCAGTATGAAAGGTTATGTAGGTCTTGCTTAAGCCTAGTTCACACTACAGGATTTTAAACATCAGCAGATCGCTGTGCCGTTCACACTACATGATTTGACTTTGTGTCTTTTAATCTCTGAGGTGTTCACACTACGCAACACTCTGTGAATGATCCACAAGAGGGGGGTCACACACTACATGATCTGACAACAACTCATTCCCCAACAGCCCATTCAAGTTACCAAACCACAGCCAATGAAATTTTGAGGGAGGAGTCATCAGAAAAAGCTGAACACTATTGGCTGCTTGTGTGCTGATGACATCACTGTCAGTGTTTCAAGCTTTGGAGAAAGCATTTAAAAACATCGTCAAGTCAGCTGATTTATCAGTGGATTAATCACTCATCTGCAAGGTTCCAGTGGATAGATATACAAAGAGTTTTTAATTTTTGTAATTTTATAACTCTTTGAAATAAAACTAACATATTTATAACACCCTGCCGTTTTCTAACTATCAGTGTATTTCTTTCTGACATTGTTATTTTTTTTATTACAAAACAGTAAAGAACTGAGCATTTCTGCCTTAAATTACCATATTGGGCAAAATGACTGCATGCATGTCTGATACTTTTCGCTGTGACTTTAAATATGTGTGCATTTTCTTGCCTAGCAACTTCCTGCTAACATAAACAAAACTTTCTGATGGCAAAAACATCAATTTACTTTAGATATCTTTCAAAACAGCATATTCTGTGCCGAATAGCTCCTGAAAGTGAAAATGAAAGCCAAGACCTTTGCATGTTCTAGTATCTTAACTACATATTTATAGGCTGTATTATCAAAAAAGATTATATTTTTAGGGAAATGGTGTCATTAAATATGATGCCAGACATTCAAAGCTTAATTTTATTATCTCAATAATAGCTTTGAATGTAAATATGTTGTGACAATATGGCGTTTTATATGAGAACGGTCAGAATGAGCAGTATGGTAATTCTAATAGTTACAGAATTCTAGTTCCACTGTTAATATAGCCTACTCTCGTGTCTGTGCTAACACAGAATGAAGCGAGTGCAGCGATGCCCATTCTGACCAATCACAGATGTTTCTGCTGAGCTCCTGAACACACAGGCATTCAGCTCATGCTGATATGCTCTCTCATTGGCTGCAGCACGTCACTACATCTGACCACACGTGGGGTTGAGTCGGCCGACTGCTCTGGAATATTTAGCATGCTAAATGTTGGATTTCCGTCTGCGAGGTGTCGGTGACGCGTCAGCGAGCCTCGTTGATGCGTTGTTCAGTAGTTCACACATAAAGAGCGGCGAGCGCCGTGCACCCGCAGATTTCTTGCCGATCACAGCCCGATCTGTCGGCGAGCACGTTAACTTCCAAATCGGGCTCAAATCAGGCTTAAAATCCTCTAGTGTGAACTAGGCATTAACGGTTGTTATAAATCACAAATTATCAGTGTTTTAAATCACAAGAGACTTATTTTAGGTTTCACATGACGAAATACACATTAGTGGTATCAGACCAACCCTTTAGTTATGAAATACACCACGATTGTCTGTAAAAAGGGCAGTAATTATATTAAGCATAGTCTGACAACGAGCTTCATACAGTATATACACTATGTGCATAATTAGATACTTTGTGCTGTCCGTAACTGTAACTGTACCTGTGCATGCGGGTCAGTTTAGGACCATGATCTGTTCACACTGCAAATCTAATATTGGCCACATTTGTAACAATAATGTGAACAGTTATGCAAAAAAAATCAGATCTCAGAAAAAATCGCATTTGAGCACTAAGCCTGGCAGTGTGAACGTAGAAAAGCCTTACATTTCAGCCTTACATTTACTTACAAGCCTTTCGAATTCATTTTCAAAAGCCTTATTTCAAAAACCTAATTTTAGGCCTTACAAAATCTTACAATTACTGAAATATTGTTTTGTAGGTCTTGCATAATTTTAAACGGGGATTAATTCTTTATATCTCTTTGTACATCTAGTCAAGTGGGCCGACACACATACAATCACAACAATCCATCTCAGTAGAACCTTTTTCAATTATTTACAACTATTTACCAACATGGTTTAATTATATTCCTTACAATAACATTTGTTTAGAGGATCTGCATGTATTTATAGCTACCTGGTGAGGACACTTACCTGTTGTGCATGCAATTAGTTTATCGAAGTTTTAAAAACTTGTCAATTAAAAAAATGTTATGTTGAAAAAAAGTACATGTATACAACCAGAGCTTGCTTGTTTTGACCCATTATTTAAAATATGTGGCTAAGAAAGAACTAAATTAGAATTATTTTTAATGAAGCAAGTAAAAATCTATTTCATTATAAAAAATATTAGTGTTTAGCTACGTGTATGTCTGAAATTTCATTCATAATGGACTTAAAAAAGACAACCTTGTTTAAAGAATTGTGAGACTGGCCAAATTAATCATATTAAAACAAATCTGCATTATGCAGTCTTATTTAAAATAAAATAAAATATTATGCATTGGTTAAATTTATTGGATAGAGTAACATACTTAATCAGATGTGCTTGATTTCTCCCTTAGCCTGGTCCCTCACTGTTTGCCCTTATGGGGATCCGTTTGGAGGGTCTAATTCCTGCTATCATTCTACCATTGCTACTGACCATGGTAAGGAAAAGTCGGAAAACAATTGTTTTACTAAAACCTTAACCAAGTTTGTTTGAAATTCAAGTTTTTCAGACACCTTTAGTTTGCAGTTCTTTTTATAGTAGATACCTCATCTAGCAGGTTTGTGTTGTATTTTATGTTTTTTTGACTCTCTTCCCTGTCAGGTGCTGTTTTTGGGACCTCTGATCCAGTTAGCCATGGATTGCCCATGGGGGTTCATTGATGGGATGAAAGTTGTAGTTGGTAAGTAGTTTTTTTCTCTTTCTGTTTATATATCTATGTTGGGATTTATTAGCGAGCTGTCCTGAAAGGCGTTTTCAAAACCGAAGTATCAAAGTGTGTAAAAAGTGTGTAATGACCCCATAAAATATTGTTATTAAACAGTTGATTAGGGCATTTAGCCAAAGCATGTAGGAGGTGAATATTTATTCTTTAATAAATGGTGCAATACTAATTCTTCATGCTATGAAAGGAAAATAAACTTGACTTGTCCTTAATGACTTGTCGATTGACTTGTCGTTCTGCTCTTTAGTGGATCATCTTTAAAAGTGACATTACTATTGAACTCAATTTTTTAAAATCAACTAGAACTACACCAAAGTTTTGCTACTTTTCTGCTGCTTGCCTGAAAAAGGAAATATGACTTTAATTATTTGCCCGTTCATCTATGTAAAATGGCTTCAACAACTATGCTGTATAAATCACTATAGAAATAAAGGTGGCTTCACTTGACTTGATTCAGTGTAAGTGATTGCTCTGTTATGTCTTTGCAGACCCATGTTTCTGGAGTCTGTGTCTGAGTGACATGCGCTGGCTGAGGAACCAGGTTGTGGCACCATTGACAGAGGAGCTGGTTTTTCGGGCATGCATGCTTCCTATGCTTGTGCCCTGTGCCGGCCCCTCCACAGCAATCTTCACATGCCCATTGTTCTTTGGTGTCGGTGAGTGGTGACTAGGAGTGTGCGATTATTTAATGTTATGGCTGTGCAAAATAACAATATGCAAATTATACAAGATTATACAAAATACTTTTTTTTCAAATATTTCCCAAGTGCTGATTTGCATGGAAATTAGCAAGGAAATTGGCGTAGTATTATCTATTTAATTTTTGTTCTTATTTATTTTAGTTTAGCTGGAATGAAAGCAGATTTTTTCAAAAATTGTAAAATTGCTATTGCCTCAACAGGAAATAATTTTTTTCTATTGGCTACAGAACAAAACCACTGTTGTCCAATGGCTTACCTAATTAAAGCAACATGCCTAGAAAGTACCATGTTTACATCTGGTATTTTATTCTGCAATAATTTATGTTGGGTGGTTAGTCACTGGGTTTTTTAATCTAAAAAAACTTATTTTATATTTTATTAATCAAACATTTGTCCAGAAATAAAATGAGAAAATTAATCACATATGAATACATTTTTGACTATACTCAGCATATGTTTTACGCAGCGGATGCCCTTCCAGCTGCAACCCAGTACTAGGAAACACCTGTACACTCTCACACACTATGATAAATTTAGTTAATCCAGTTCACCTATTCTTTGGATTGTGGGGGGAACCCATGCGAACACATGGAGAACATGCAAACTCTACACAGAAATGCCAACTGGCCCAGCTGGATCTCGAACCAGTGACCTTCTTGCTGTGAAGCGACATTGCTAACCACTAAGCCTCTGTGCCGCCTGAATATAGTCTTTAAAATATAAAAAAGAAATAATAATTTTCATCAGGTCAATATTATTTAATTTAATTGACAGAAAATGTACTATATCGTTCATGATAAATATTGTTATTATGACAGTGCTTCCCACACATAAACTTTACATGGGCAGGCCGCCCAGGTATTTTAACGGCTGCCCAAGTATATTTAGTGACTCTGTTTTGTAATATTATCATATTTTACTTTTATATATATATATATTTTACTTTTTGTATTCATGCACAATAACCAAACGTCAGCAATTTATTATGTAGTGGAAAATCCTCTCTTCTTTACTCATTTCGTACTGCTCGTTGTTCGTGCAAGAGACCTGTCAATACTCCCACAGACAGTCTCACATGCTCTGCAGACCCACAGAGACGTGCCTTTTTGCTTTCGGCAGGGGTTTCTAAGTCTACTAAAATGTCCATGATTTGTCTTTTGCTTTCACTTTCTAAAGTTTGTTTAATTGTCCCAAGAGAAACATTAAATATTTAATTCTTTAATCTAAACGACTCAGAAAAACTTTACTAAGTACTCGGAGAGAACAAAATTAAGAGGGAGGACGAACTCTAAGTTGGCTGCAAAATATTTGTACAGCATTAAAATGGTTAATCAACTCATTTGCCTTATTTAAATAATCTACATGTTTTAATAATTATAATTATTTTAGATATTTTCTGTCATTTATATTTAATTTGCTCTATATTTTCCAAATTTGATGATAGTAATATATTACATATTTCATACATCTAAAATGACACCAAAATGTCATGCAAATAAAGCAACCTGAACTTAAATATGAGATAGAGAGAAGCAGGTTTTTACCTGTCAATGGTTACACATTGCTCTTGAATAGCATAAAAATAAGAGTAATAGTAAATTTCTTTTTTTAATTGAAGATATTTTTATAACTTTGACCCATTGAGAAGAAACAGTGTATAGCTGTTTATTAATAAATAAAAATATTGTTAAAAATCTAATTATGTTTTGTTTATCGCAAATAGTTATTTAATTATGTGATGTGGGTAAAAAGTGTGTTTCCACCACAAGTATATTTTAAACTTGTAGGAAGTACTGCATTATATGAGATTTTTGTCTCATCACCCAGCCCTATGATTTTTTTTGATAATAGATATTGTTCTGGTAAATGTCCCCAAAGCTATGGGTTTGTAAAGATCTTTTAACAATGCCAAGTGCGCTATCCTTAAAAAAAATCAAACACAATTACAGAAATTTTGTTATATGGCTGTAAAAATGCTTATTTGTTTTTTAAAGCAACTTTGGCTCCTCTAAACTATTACGCACATAATGTATACATTTTAATACAATGCATTTATGAGACCACCCAGAGTATGTGTTTTTAAAATAAAATTTATTATGAAACTGATGAATCATGGTGCATTTATAAACGAGATGCTCTGAATTTAAATTCCATGCTGACTAAAGTCTATTAAAGGTTACTGCAATAATAGCAAATGCTGGACGATTCGACAAAGGGATCTCGAGGGATGTATTTGTGGACACTCAGCACTACTTAGATACCTGCTAATTGGTAACCTGAGCATTTCAAACGATTCCTGCAAAATTATCCCACTCATTTATTACATTCGGAAACTCCCCTGTATTGATGTGTTTACATGACTAGCCACTGAAGAAAAAATGACAAATGTTTAGAGTTTCATACACATTGCTTTGTAGGGCATTGTTGTAACAGATCCCTTTTTTCTTCCTCTGTGTGTGTTTGTGTGTGTGTGTGTGTTTTGTGTGTGTGTGTGAGACTACAGCTCATTTTCACCATGTAATTGAGCTCCTGCGGTTCAGACAGGGCACTGTCTCAGGGATTTTCCTCTCTGCAGGTAACCGAGTCATTAGTTTACTGTCATCCTTATTGTGAGTAGTGCCGCCCGTGAGACGTAATTACTCATGTCTGTGTTTGTTTGTGTCCTTTTCAGTGTTCCAGTTCTCCTACACTGCAGTATTTGGAGCTTACACAGCCTTTATTTTCATCAGGACAGGTGCATATGTGATTTGTATCTTACAGTAATGAGGCTTAGTAGACTTAAGATGTAAAATATACAAATTAATTTTGCATAATTATATGCAACTAACCCTAAACCTAACCCACATTATAGCTCTATGTATACATTTGTAATTAATATTACTCTGTAGTTAAATGACTAGTTACACTGTAACAATGACACCTTAAAATATGATGTAAACAAATACCTTTTAAGCTCATATTGTGACTGTTTTCACAAAAATTCTCTATTGACTGTCAAAAAGGTTAGCAAGGTTAGCAAGGTTATGCTATATATATATATTATGTATTGAGATTTATTTCATTTGTCACATGAATCACCTGTTTTGTAATCACTTTAGACATTATGCTGGAGAATCATTCAAATACTAGCTGTAAAGTGACGTTCAATAAATCTCAATACATAAGGTTTTTATAAAATAAGTTTTATTGTTTTAGTAGTAAATGTACAAATCTTTACGAAAAAAGCACTTTTTTATGGTATTAGATTGAAAATCCAGAGAAATCCCGTGCAGTGCGATCGGAGCCGGATAAAAGACTGTTTACCTTAAGCATTTACATGGCATATTTTTGAACTGGAATGTTCTTCTTGATTACCTGTTATCAAAATGTCAAGCAAAATGTGTAAACAGGACAGCATCAGTCTCCCTGTCTCATCTGCATAATCATCCTTACCTTTCCCATACTAATCTTCATAAACTAGTCAACGTAGCCTACGGTGCGTGATGGGTTGAAAAAGAAAACAAAAGGTTTGACTGCATCAAAAAGACTGTTAAATTGCACAATGACACAAAATAATATAGATCATGCCACCAAACACATGAAAACTAAGGTAACGAGCCTGATTTAAAAATGTAAGGAGTACAAAGTACAGATATTTGTGTAAAAATGTAAGGAGTAAAAGTAAAAAGTTGTCAGAAAAATAAATAGAGGAGTAAAGTACAGACATACCAGAAAAATCTACTTAAATACAGTAACGGAGTATTTATACTTAGTTACTTCCCATCTCTGCATATGGGCTGTTTATTAATATTTATGAAACACAATTATTAGTATTTACAACAAACACAAAGTAATTAGAAGTTGGTTGAGGGAAAACTCTTTTACCAGGCATTTATTTATTTCTTTGTTGTAATGTATTTTTAGTTTCTTGTGTAAAATGTAATTGAATCGGATTTGTAACATCAATCAAACAATTTTTTATCTTTTTCTTTTTATCTTTTCTCCAGGTCATTTGGTGGGTCCTGTGCTGTGCCATTCCTTCTGCAACTACATGGGTTTTCCCGCTCTCAGCACGGCTCTGGATCACTCGCAGCGCCTCACCATCCTCTTCTTCTACGGGCTGGGGGTCGTCCTCTTCCTCCTCCTCATCTTCCCCATGACCGACCCGCACTTCTACGGCCTGCCCACACCCGTCTGCACCCTGACCTCCACGCCTGGCTCCATCTGCTCCTGATCCATCCAAACCTCCATCCTGCGTTTCACCAGCTCTTTCTCTCCAGCCATTTAAACAGGAGTGGCTGTTTTGCTGCTAGTTTCACCAGGTGAGCGAGGGACAGCTGGAGAACAGGTATGAAAATTCACAGCCTCCGTGAGACGTGTGGAAGAACTCGGTGTCTGCAAAACATGGCCATTTTTGTTTTTCAACCATTCAGCCGATGTTGCATTATAAAGTGACTTTAGCTAAGAGCCAGGCCTACAATTGAAGAAGATAAGTTTATTATATGTGTCTGCATGTTTAAATGACAATATTGTCAGTGTGTTTTTCATGCGATCGGTGCTGGGGATAAAGATCAGACACTATTACGGGTTTCCTAGAAAGATTTATTCGCAGAAATGTGCATCGCTAAAAATGCAAAATTGTCCTGTGGTAATATTAGAATCTTGCTTACACACACCTTACCTGTTTGGTCTGGTGCCCTTACTTGAAGACAGCATTCATATTTACAGATATTACAATCTTTTCGGTTGTTTAAAGGCCCGTTCACACTGGGACGCTTTTTGCTTGAGTTTTCCGTCGACGTTTAACGCCTTGTGACTAAATAAAGGGCGGCAACGTGATCATGCACACCAACGGGCAAACGCCAGGCGTAAAATCGTCATTTTTTAAGAAATGCCTCATGCTCGTTTTTTGTTTTTGTTTTGAGGCTACACGTCAAAACCTTCTCCACCAATCAGATTGGCACTTTAGTGCACAGAGCTGCTGAAGTTACAGTAAACAGCACTTAGAGGCGCTCAAGCACAAAACTGTTAATGTGTGCGCATATTGAAGAAGATGCCCAAAGGCGATATGAAGGTTGAGCTGCTTATTGCACTGGTGAACAATAATCATTTCTTTATCGCTATGGCTGGAGCTACTGCTTGAACCATCCATGCTTTTTCGAATCGCCAGTAACTTCAACATTAAGCATGTCAACTTGTGCACCGGGGTCTTTCTGTTTTTCATTAAGCACCATCTAACGTCAAGGAGTGATTTGCATACTCCTCTGCTCGACGCCAGTGAAAATCGCTTGGGTTTGAATGCAGAAAAACATCTCAAAGCGCTGACGATAACTGCAAACAAAAATCGTCCCGGTGTGTACGAGCCTTTAGTCTTGATTTTTATCGTTTAGAAGTCTCGTCATTCAATTCAAAGTATGCTCTTTAGGTAAAAGTCAGTAGGTACGCTAGTGAAGCAATAGATCTAGACCTGTTAGAGTAACAAGATTAAAATTGAGTGTGTGTGTGTATCAGAAGTTGAACAATTTTCCTGAACACACGGCTTTATGTGTAAGTCGAATTGTTATGTAAATGCAGAGCCTCATGCACAACATTTTAGATTATGAGGTCTTTTTGATGCTTTGGTTAAAATGAGCTATTTTTAATGTTAATAATAATAACAATAACAACAAAAAAACACCTCAAATTAATTTTTGTTAATGCAGAATAGTTTTTACAATTGCAGAATATTCAGTGATAGATTTTAACCGATGGCATTTCAATCATATTTAATGCAGCGCTAAAGACATCCTTTTTACATCAACATAGAAATTTCTTCAATTGTTATTCAAGTTTAGTAGCGCTGGAGCATAGATATATACTCTAGATGTCACATATCGACCCGTGAGCATGCGTCAATAGTGCCGCCACATTGGTACAGTGCTCCTAGGACAAATGTCATTCAACCGCACTAGACAAGACAGTCTGCCAATCTGAAAATGCTGGACTTTAGCGCTGTGTACGGGTGTAGTAACAAGCAAACAAAGAAAACAAAGCATAAAGGCATCACATTTCATAGGTAAGACTTTTTACATTTTTGTATGTTATGAACTTTTGTGCTAAACAAGAAACGTTATTGATGATAATACACTGCACTGATCATAAGGCGAGGTAGCACCAACTCGCACTAAATACTAGGCTTATGCTAGTTTGTTGAATAAAATGAGCAAACCATGTAAATGAAATATGACAATAAGATCCTGCGCTGCCAGAAACTTGTATTATTGTCAGCTAAGTGAACGAGTCGTTCATAACGTTCATATCCCTTGGTTAGATAGACAAGTGAAAGCGGGAGAGGGGGTGTGTTTCAAGACACGGATTAGATCAAATTAAACAGGAAGGGAGGATAATACATTTCCATGCACCCAAACACATGCTCTTTGTTGGCAATGGGGTATATGCCGAAGCATGCTAATAGGACTTTTAATTTGCCAGTAACCTGGGTTAAGCGCTTCCGGCGAATTGAATGCCGATGCAAAATCCAGTGCGTTTAAGGTCTGTTTTCTTTAAAAATCAGCGATCTCCACTAGCTGAGTGATATCCGATTTAAAGTGGATCACAGATTGTACAAGAAGCACTGAATTAAATGACATTTCCCCCGTCATATCTTTGTAATATGAGCAATTAGTTTACCCCAGTATATTCAATGGAGCTTCTGCGTTAGCCTGCCGATTCTGATGGGCATGTGCGAGTAAACAGCTTTTTGTCTCGTTTTACGCTTGAGCAACCAAATAAATGCTAAAGTTTATTTAACTGAATGTTTTTTAATGACATTACAACATCGATGCTGCATAAGGAACCGTATAAAATGGAAAAAAGTTTACAATAACAGGTCACCGGAAGTGCATCAGCATGGGAACAGCACTAGCTCGGCATATACCCTATACTCATGCACACTAATCCATCGATGTAGAAAAGTGATGTAAAATTATAATTTTCATAATTTAATTTTCGCAATTTGCATAATGACCACTGGGGAAACTCCCGATCATAGATATATGTATATATGTGTGTATCTCTGGCTCTGGACGGCCACAGTCCTCCACTGCACCTTGCTCCCGCATTAATTTTAAAGGAGCGCTACCCTGTACTAAAATGGCGGCTCTATTGACGCATTCCTTCCAATAGACAGCAACAGGGTAGGCGACATCTAATGTAAATATCTATGGCGCTGGAGGTCATTAAGATAGAATGGACTCTTGAGGAATTTGTAACACTTTCTATTTATGACAACAGCAGATTGTTAACATTTGAACTACCTATTTTAGAGACAAAAAACACCTTTAGTTGTCTGACTGAAATTTGGAATCACAATGCTGTGTTTTTGTGATCATTTCTATATTGCAAACGACATAATGACAGGTCTCATGAATTTTTACATGGGTTTATTTACCCTGGTAGTGATTGTGAAAACTCATACCACTGAATTGCATGCTGCTACACCGCTGACTTATGGATGTTCGGATGAGGATTGATAAAGAAACAATACCGAAACAATACAATACCCAATACAACTCGCAACTGCTATACAACTCAAACTGCTATAACAATAGTTCACAATAAAAAACATAAATAAACACCTGTAATCATTTAATCACTCACATGGCGTTCTGTAAACCACAAAAAAAAGAGATGTTAGTCAGAATATTCAAGTTTATTGTTATTTCGGAGTCTAAACTTAAACAATTTAAGTTCATAAGACTTTGTATTCCACCCAGTTATGTGGTTTGAACATTCAGATATTTAAATTGAGCTCAGCTGATATATTTGGATAACAATACCTTTGTTTTTTAATAAATAAATAAAAAAATGGTAGAACAAAATGAGGGTGAGTAAAGGATTTGCTTTTAATTGTCATTATTATTTACATTTTTTGCATCAACTATCCCTTTAAGTTAGCGAATGTGGCTTGCTTTGCAAAAAAGAGAGCGCTTGCTGCATAACACTTTATGCCATGTACATGTTTTTGATTTTAGTTCTCAATAAATGTGAAAGCAGAGTATATATATATATATGAAATGAGAGTAAACAGAACTGTCATCTATTTAATATATTGGCAATGGCTTGCCCTGATGCTCATTTATGTGTAGATCGTAGATCTGTGTTGTGAGAGACCATGCAAAGTAAACCTTTTGAAGCAATAGTCTCACAAACAGACTCAATTCAGGGATCCCGTGTCATGTAAGAAGTTCATTTTAGATGTTTCTTTCATTTGCTCCTGGAATGATTTCTTATTTGGCACGCTACAAAGACAGCAGTGACGTTTAACATCACTCGAACAGCCAAAGTTATGGTTGTAATTTATCACAACTTGTCCGAGTTACTTACGTGATCTGGTTTACTAGCTTCTAGCATTGGAAGAAGTTTGTGTTTTAAATGTGCCATAGTGTATATGACTGTAATAATAACTTGTTTACGCTGCACTGAAAGCTGCTGTAGAGTTGCTCATGCGCCTTGGGCTTACAGTCGACAGAGGGCGGCAGAGGACCATAAATGTGTTTTTCCGTGTGTTCTGTTGTTTTCACGATTAAGAACGAAGCAGTCACCTCTTAGTGTTTTCATTAAAACTGCTATCCGTTTTGCTTTGCGTATTTAATCTTGCTAATCGATAATGTTGTGAAATTATGCATAAATTATGCCCTGATACTCAAAGTACTTGTTGAAGAATGTAAACTGTTTTTGTATCTAGGAATTGACCCATTGTTCCCGGTTTATTTAAATCGTTGGATGCTTTAAATACAAATCGATACCACTTTGGTATTGTTTAATGAAAGAAGCTTACCATTTAATCTGCAAACCTGTCAGTATCTGTTTTCATGTATTTTAGGCAGTTGTACTTTTTCCATTAGGATTGAATAGTTTCTCATTAACTACTAGTGTTTATTCTGTAGGTGCCCTTTTAAAATATACTCGTAATTCATTAGACACTTGTACTTATTATTTAATAATAGTGCTTCTTTTGGTTAGATACCAGCAGCTTGTATTCATATACACACCTTACTTAATTCATTAGAAACTGTTTAGATATGTTCCATACTATTGATTAAACGTACAATTTTTTTGGTTGGGATCTCAACTAATCAGTTTTGACTAGTATGTATTTCAGATATTATATTTGTTATTATGTCATTAGGTACTAGATCTTAACTAGTAAAAACTGCTTTGTTACTCTTCTTTTGTTTTTATGACTAGTGAAGAACAGCCACAGTAATTTCAATAAAAAAATCTTATCAATGCTAGTAAATCATACACATACTCTTATATTAAAAAATTGCTAGTAAGTGCTAATAGGTAAGTTTCAATAGTACTAGTGTCTGTTTAATAGTTACAAGTGTCTAAATGAGTACACTATAACACCCAACAAGAGTTATGAACTTGAAGTGTTGAAGGTAATGAGTTAATTAAATTAAATTGCTTCGTTTACTCAAACAGATCAAGTTTACAATACCCATTAGGATAATTTTTCGAACTTAAATTGTTTGTTGCAAATGGTTTCCTCAAATGCTTTCAGTTACCTTAACTTATTGGGTTTTACAGTGTACTAGTAAGTAATCAATTTTAAGTTGTATCTCATGAAAACTTGTAATAAGTATAAGTGTACAATAGGTACTTATTTATTTAATAGGATAAGTGTATAATAAG